GTGGGCTCGTCTTAATCATGTCCTCGAGTCCCAAAGTACTTGGCTACCACTGCTTCATTACCGAGCGCTTTCAGTAGTCAAGATACACGCGATACCAGCAAAATCAAGTAACATAGGCTGATCATGAGTGTCTTTCCATAGCGATGGTACTATGCAGCCTAGGCCTATATTCAATTTCTGACGACAAATTATAGTCCTGTTGCTCGAGCTCAAGCTCGGCTTACGCCCGCCTACATGGAGTTACAATGTTCGTCGCTTGAATGACGGTAGCGCCGAGACGCATAGTGGCACGAGTACTGCCGTCAGCCACCAGGGTGGTGCGTAGAAAGCAGCAACGTCGGGCGCTCTCTGATAATGTGTCGCTCGTCGAAAGATCTATTATCTCATGATTGCCTCGTCACTCGACTACTGATATGATTGAGCTGAGACTAATTTAACGACTTGCTGCCATCTACCACTGCGGGAGCATTCAGAGTCAACCTTGATGCGCAGCATCTCATCGTATAAAACAGTGTGCATCTCGCCTCCAGTCCTGGGCCATCAAACAACCCCACCTCCTTCCACTGAGTCACACTCAACCACCGCGATGATGAACCGTGCCCTCCTCCTCTTACCCTTCGTCCTCCTCGCAACCCAAAACGCCGCCACGCCTGCAGTCTTCCCGAATACTCTTCAGCTCTTGAAGAGAGATGGTTCGACCCCGGAGTATGCCACTCTGATGAGACGGGAAATGCGCCTGAGCCTAAGATTATTCCGGATCCCGTACCGGCACCGTAGATTGCTCTTACTCCATTCCATGCTGATCATGCTGACAAGTTGTGTCTGCACTTCCTTTCTTGTGCAGTGAGGTCCCCACCGTTGAACCTGTTCCCGGGCCTGAAACTAACTTTCCGCTTCCGGAGGCAGAACCTCTCCCTGAATTGGACCCTATCCCTGCTGACGGCGACGACGACGACGACGACGAGGATATCCCCGATGGTGGTGACATCTTTGACGGAGAAGAACCGCCTCTCGATGGCGGTGACGTCAATGAGCTTGAACCTCCTCTCGACGGTGGCGAGGAAGACCCGGAAGGCGACGATGACGACCCAGAAGGCGACGACTATAAAGCCGAAGACATCAAGGACCCGTAAGTCACTCACTCTCATTCTCTAGAATCACTTCGCTGACACGTCTCAGCCCTTAGCGCAAACTATTGGGGAGGCCGTCGTCGCCACGGATATGGTCTTTGGCCATGGCGCTATAGACACAAGTATGACGGCAAGTTCGCATTGAGTTCTGCTTGAGGTGTATCGCAAGACCCAGACTTACGCGTCGTATAGGCACGGTTGTGCGTACGAAGATTTCGGTCTAGTGTAGAATCTCATAGGAAAAATCGACTCGTGCAAATTAATACAGTAGTTGGGCGGCAGTCACTAACTAGATAAGGCGAGGACTTGAATTCTTGAATTTGGTGATGGAAGTCGAGGAGGAAAGCAGGCACGGTCACATGTGCCACTTACCCTTGGCTCCTGCCATAAGGACCTCCCCCTCAACGCCCTCTCACAATCTCACATCCTTGTACTTACCGTCCTCTACTGAAAATTCAAATTAGTCGTCTGCAACTTCTGCTCTACACCGAAACAGCCCACCTCCAACTCGTCACGCCATGTCAATCCCAATAATCGACAACTTCTCCGCCTGGATCAACGTAGACGGCCACCGCGTAGACGCGTATCAGATCGTCTCGAGTGGTACTGAACCCCAAACCATAACTTGTTGGATACCTTCTCAAGCTGGAAAAGTCAGTCGTCTGAACCTTTCACCCCACCCTCCCGAAACGCCTTTGGTCGAGTTCCCACACTGACTCCGCGCAGGAATTTTCCGTCCACTGGGCCGACGACGAACGGCGGTACACTAGCACGGGTCGGATACTCATTGACGGTCAACGTGCGGGAGGGAGGACGATAGATGGGAAGAACGAGAAGCCGAGGGCGAAGAAGGAGCAGTCGAGGGGGTATATCACGATGTCGACGACGACAAAGCGGCCGTATGTGTTCTCGCAGTTGATGTTGGCTGGTGAGTCTGCTCATTTATCCCATTCGTTGTGAGTCTGACGCCTGGACAGATAGCGACGCCCCGAACCTCGACTCTCATCCTGAGAAGATAGGGAGCATAGTGCTCAACATCTACCGCTCTAAATATCGTCCCCACCGCGAGCCGAGGCAGTTCCATACGGCCTGGAGCGCGGACTTGCCGGTGGACGAGAGGGCGAAGAAGGCGAGTGTGCATCGTGCTGCGTACGTCTTCTCACTTCACTTCTCCTTTCACGGTCGCTTTCCCCTTCACACCTCATTCCGTTTTCTTCCCCTTCATACCCACTCTCCCCTCGTCCCCGGTCCTCTCCCCTCTACCCTAATCCTCTCCCCCGCTTCCCAAGCTCTCTCCCCACATCCCCCTCCACCGCGTGGGACACAAACGAGTACACATGCGAACGTAACATATATCTACATCCTCCAGATGCGGTGAACCCACATCCTTCAAACGCCCCCGCAAGACGATGGGGCGCCATTTAGACCTCCATGCGCGAGTGGCCACGTTCATGTTCAAGTACACTTCCCTCGGTTCGTCTCTCGTTGCCTCTTTCCCCCCGACTTGCGTTCTGATTCAGTATGATGCGAGAATAGAAGTCCTCCGAGCGCAAGGAATCGCACCACCCAGTGTTCACCCCGTAAGCTCACCCGTCATACCTGCCACGTATCCTGGGTCCTCATCATCCTTCCTCACTACAGCGCCAGACATCAAACTCAACCTCAACGGTAAAGCCCGAACCAGGACTTCCCCCACTCGACAGCTCGGACGTCTTGGATCTCACACAAGACTTCGACGTGAAGAAGGAGTTCGAGGGGCCGATCGTGGTGCCGACGGGATGGCACAGGAGTGTTATTGACTTGACGTTGGATTGACGTCAACCTGAGTTCGAGAGACTAACTTGTGTGTAGCTGGGTTTGAGGGACTGCGCCAGCTGGGAATCCAGCTGAGGGAAGTTTCGTGTGTATGTATGTACTGTAGTATTTGGTATTGCTCTATTCGAATAATTACAGCTAGAACATCTGGCTGGCAGTCTGTCCATGTACGAGCAAACATGATTAACGTTGGGGTCCCAAATCATCGTTCAACGTTCAACACTCGCCATGTCTTGACAGCAGCGTTCCGCCGTAAGGCTCCAGAAACATCTGACGATGTCCGTTGAGGATCTGCGTATCAGACAAGAGATAGTGAAGCGGCTTCCGAGGCACCTCGAAGGACATCAGTCAAGGAAGCTTCGAGCGAAGGAGTACAGGTTTCAAGGGATAGTCAGCGAAATGGATTGATACCCGTCGGGGTGGGAGCTGCTTGCCACTGGCTAGCCGATGGTGTGTCGAACCTCGCAAACGTTTGGTGTGACGGTAGCGCGTTCCGAGTCGTGGTCCGAGCTGCCAGCGGGGTAGTCGTAGCTGGCGCACAAATTGGGAAGATAGACGCAGGAGTTTGACCAGGTGGAGCCGGAACGGTAGCGAATACGTCGACCGGCGTGGAGGTGGTGCCATGGATCCGGAGAGGATACGGCGATACGTTCCCCGCATCGTAAAACGGCGGCGGCCAGCTTTGCGGGAAGCCTGGGAATCGTTCTTCGAGGACGTCGGCCTCGTGCTATAATCGCGCCAACCAGCACTTCCGTACGTGTAGTACTTCCCACTGCCATCTGACCAATGTAATACCCCATTTTGGTCGTACTGGCAGAGCCATCGTGTACCAGCGGAGGGCGTGAGATCAAGAGACTTAGGTGTGGCGTGGTCACGGAAAGGTGTAACATGAAACGGTGTAGCGTGAAGAGGTGTAGAATGACGAATTGTAGCAGGGCGATGCGTAGCATGCCGAGGTGTAACACGAGCGTCGAAATTCCAAGCACCATCATTTGAGCTCCAAAATATGTCTTGACCGCCAGTGGCCTCGTTTCTCCAGCAGTAGTTTAGATGGGGCGATATAGTTGGGAACGCAGATCCAGTGTTTGTGATCTTCGGGGGAGCGCTGCCAAAAGCCGAGCGAAATGTGTCGAAAACACCCATGGTCGGATTTGTATAAGTTTATGTGGGCTTCAAGTTGCAGCAGAGGTGGGTCGAAAAAGCTTTACGTCGAGCGAAGTGAGGCCAAGCTGAGTTCTGTAAACCAGATGTGGGGACTTGGGGCGTGGGATGGTTGGTGAATCGACCGCATCTGCGACCTCGAACTTATCTGACTTGGAAGAGGTCGATGTGGAAGACACGATGCAAGCTGTTGCGTGGCACCTATGATGAGCTCTCCGAGAATTACAATAGCATTTGCCGTGGACTGCACACATCACATTTTAGGTTCTCGAGCAGCGAACAATAGACGGGGGTACAAGGACGTTGATGTTGGTGGAAGGATTTCAAGGAGGACAAGGGCGAGCGGCCGCGGGCCGGCATATGCTCGCCATGTTGCTGCAAAGTTGCCGTCACTGGTCAGGCGAGTGGTGCTTTCGCGACGCGTGGGAAACCTTGCTAGAACAACCTGCTCCGAATCCGTTGCTGCTCCGTGCTCACTGCTCCTCTCGGCGAAGACGCGCAACCTCTGAAGAGCTGGAACCAGATGCTATCAAATATTTCCAGCGGGAGGAATTTTGCGAAAAAGTGAGCTCAGACTTGTGAATAAGTCAATACAGACTCGTACCACAGTCTACTTTGAACTACGTATAGTTACTGCTTGCTATACTTGCGATAGAGCGCACTCCGGCAGCGTCCAGTCTAAGTTCTAGCTTGCAATAGGCTCCTCATGACTCCGAAACAAGAGATGGGGAGCGAACCGAGGAAAAGAGGTACATCGTCGGCGGGTGTAACATGAGAAAAGTGGAGAGCCCAGAAGGACTTCATTACTTCAAAGTTCAGTTTTCAAGGAGCTGAAATGAACCTGAGGCGGTTTGAAATTAGGAAGAACAAAAATAACTGAAATCGCCCATCATGTGGCATTACCAGGGTTCGAACCTGGGTTACGGGAAGACGATATGACCAAGAGATGTGTTATCAAAATCCCGAGTGATGACCACTACACTATAACGCCGATGGTGGCCGAGTACTTCAATTTAATAGATAGCGTTGCTCAAACGTTGCCCCTCCCGAGAGTTCCGACATCATTTGAGAGGGGACGACCTGACGAGCACTCAACGGTCAACCAGGTAGAAGAGCAACGGAGTATAAAATACATTAAACCACTACAACCTACAGCGAGCTGACAGCATAAACATAAGGAGAGAGTCCAAGGTATATATAAAGCCAATTCTGCAAACGCTTCGGAAACCCCACCTTAAACTTCCAGGCTAGACAAACTCGACCAATATGGCTGCGGCCTATCAACAGGCGATCTTAGGCTGGAACGGGAATTTGAGCTGGCCCGAGGTGTCGTAGAGCCCGTAACCCTGGAGCTGGGAGTCGCTGTAGACGTGCCAGAACCAACCTGCGAAGAGGAAGAGACGTCAGCGATCAACGTTTGTGAAGGGTCAGAGGCAAGATGCGAAGGGAGGAGATGTGGGAGGGAACACAGCTCGGGAAGGTCCGCAGAGAGTGTGGGAGGGTAAGAGAGGAAGGAAGATTCGACACGTACCGACGCCACCATTCGCCATCGCCTTGAAGTCCGTGCAATGCTCATCAAGTAGCTTGTAGTATCCCTATTTCAGTCCAGCCGTCAGTCCCGTACCCTCAATGAGTATAGTAGAGACAGTGCTCACCGCTTCGTTAGGAATGTCCGCGACGGCATCAGGCGAGTTTGGTTCGACGCCAGGGTAACTCTTCGACGGCCAGCCATTCTATAGTACATAGAATCACTTCAGTCACACGTCATAGGGAGAGAAGGGAGGGGAGAGAGGAACGAACCTGGGACCAGAACATCTTCTTCCCCAGTCCATTGGTGACGAACCAGTTATGGTCTTTCATCAGGATCGGCCAGGCTTTGTCCGCTGTCAAGAGGAAGGGATTCAGTAGCGATCAGCAATAGGAACATGAAGGAAGGTGATAAGTGAAACTCACACGTAGACGCTTGCTGCGAGAAGTACGGCAGCATGTGGATATCGAAGAAGTCCACGGCTTCGAGTACGCTCTTGGACCCGCCGTGGAGTTGGTAGCCCCATGCCATCTCGCTGATGGTCACCTAGAAGTTATTGTCCGTCAATGGGTGTTCGAGGTAGAGTGATACACAGAGCGAAGGCTAAACGACACGAAGACGCCGCACGCACAGGTGTGCTTGACGGAAGACCGAAAATCAAAAGTCTCCCCAAAATCCCCAAGAGGAAATAATGCGAAGAAGAACTCACAGGAATTCCAATACTCGTTAAATTCTTCCTCGCCTTCACTACCTCCGCCGCCAGCTCGTCCGGAGTCAGAACCCAATCATACAACGGCTCTGAGCCGAACTGCAGAGCGCGGGTGACGAAGCGGGCTTTGGGGTGCGTGTGGAGCGTGTTGAAGAGCGTAGCGCGGCGGTCTTTCCATTCGGGGGTGTTGTCGAAGCCGAACTGGAGGAAGTTGCAAATGAGGAAAAATGGGGAAGATAGGAAAGAAAAGAGGGACGTACCCAGATGAGAGCGTGTACGCCTAGGCCGTTGTCCCAGGCTGCGGTGATGACGTCGTCGCTGCGCAACGCCACGAGTAAGCTTCATAATCGTAGCGGAGGGTACGACAGTTAAAGAACGCACTAGAAGCCCTTGCGATCGCATACCGCATAGAGCCTCACGTATCTCGCCTTGAACTTTGTCTTCATATCCTTGAACTCGCGCTGCATCTGCGACAGACTCTGGCCTGTAACACGGATAGTAGTCATCAGCATGAGTCCTGCGCAGAATGAGAAGAGAGCGAGAGGGGCTTACAATTGTAGAGGGAGTAGCTGAATCCCATAAATGCGTACTCATTGTTCATAGGGCACCACCAATTGGCAGTCGTATTCGGTACAGTCGAGGGCATAGTGAACTCAGCCGAGGGGAAACACGGCGCCTTGCTTGCTGGAACATCGAGGGAGTCAACGCCCGTCGAGGGTGTTTGGATTACGCCGTGCTCGTCGCCAGCTTGAAAGAGTAGGGGGTGTTGACCGCCCTCGTTGGCGGATACGCATGCGGGTAGAATGCAGGATAGCAGTAGGAGTGCACTGAGTGTGCGAGAGAACGCGCCCATGGTAGTTTGTGGTATCTGGAACTTCGCTCGCAATGTGCAACGTGGGTCGGTTGAGCTACGTTGTCGACGCCATAGGGGGAAAGCGGTGGTTTATAAAGGTGAAACAACACATCGTGCGCATCTTACTCGGCGAAATCCGTGCTAGCTAGAAGACGTCGCGAGCGGAGCTGCTCTTTTGTGGGGTATTGTGTCCTGTTGACTAGCACGGTCGTGCAGCGTTGCAACAAGAGGCATGGATACCAATCCGAGGGATCCGTTGTGCGTGGAATATGATGGTGGTTATCGAATGAAAGTCACCGGACGCGGTCATCCGGTATCCTCGTCTCCAGCAGTACTCCAAAGCGAGGTAAATATAGGCATGAGAGGCGTGCGAAATGCATTCTTTCCATGTTCGATGTCCATGTGCAAGGAGGAGGTCATGGGCAAAAGCAAGTTGAGCTCACCGGCTATCACGCTCACCGTCCCCGGCACCTGCTCAGTACGCTCATGCCGATCTGCACGCACTGCACCGTCCAGCTTCCACACTTGTACACCGTCTACCAGTCGGCGCATAATCTGCGTCTAGAACAATGTGTATGTGTCTGACTGTCCGAAGTATATACCTACGGCGCGGAGAAGGAAGTCTGACGAAACTCGTTTCATGCTCTCTAGCCCAAGTGCCATGCTTTTGCGGATCCATACGTCGAGCATGATACGCTGACGTTGTTCTTGGATCTCATTCTCCTCAAGCAGGGTGTTTACAGACATCTGCTGTATAATCGCGGGGCGCCACCTAGGAGGGTGACTGACGGGGATGGATCTACGAACTCGGTACAGTCCGAGAAGAATGTCGCCACTACCTACCAAACGCGCTGGGTGAGCTCATTTTCAGTCTCTCGACATTGATAGTACGAGTCTGACCACTGTTTGTACAGTCTGAATGGTTCTGGGTACTTCGTCTCGGATCTGCTCTCGTTGCTCTAGATGCCTGTGCGTACATCTCGTTCGAAGTCAACAATACTTGAGCCTTTCAGCTGAGCTTACCATTTACAGCGCAGTCATTCGTTGGATGCACTTCAGTACGTCCACGTCTTGTCTATCCCCTCTCTCCTGGTCTCCCTGGGGTATCTTTCGGAGTGTAGCTAACTTACCCGCGTCCTAGATGCACCACATTTAACCGACTCCACCACCGGCACCTCGACAGGACGAGTCTCAGCAGCACGCATCCTCGCCGGTTGCCTCGCAGAAACACTCGGTTTTCACCTGGGCGTCTTAGCCTCTTCAGCAGCCGTTCTCGTCCCGTTGCGGTGGTATCAAGCTCGATCACAATCAACAACCAACCCTAGCGTCGAAGATAAACGACAAGCAGAACGCAGGGAACAGATGCATGTTTCTGGTACACAGGCAGAGTTCCGGTACGTTTTTCTACGGTCTAGTTCGATTCGCTTGCTGACGCTATGCGATAAACAGATACAGCCTCATCCCACTCACACTGCTGTACTCCTCCCTCACCAAACTATTCCTCCTCTTCCTTTTGTCCATCTGGCGGCCTGCGTCATCTTCAGCAACTCAAGCCGCCTTTCAAATTTCGACATCAGCACCAGGCGCGAATTTGTCGACACCCTCGATACTGGGACTTGCGTATCTCGACACGGCCCTCCGGTTCCTGGACGATGAGTTTCTGGGGCGCGACTGGGTGGTGAGAAATGGACTGGGTGGGTTGAGTGCGGGGTTTGGGCTGAGAGGTGGGTTTTCTTTTTACGTTTCGGTCTGTTTTCTCAGCTGACCTCCTCTTGCTAGTCGTCCTTTCCCTTCACCCACTCCTCACCTCCCTCATCATATTTGCGGGCTGGGTCTCCAAAACCGCTGTTGTGCGTCTTGTGGGGAGATGGGTTGGCGGAGGAGCGGAGGCTGTGTGGTTAGCTTACAGTATTCCGTGAAGAAAGTCGCTACAGTCACCGAGATGCGGACGATCAAGCTCAGAAGTACGGCTACGTCTGGACACGATGCGTACCTTCTTCCCTTCTTCTCTTCTCACTCCGTCTGATACACAGATCTGGCGTGCTCGGCTCTCCTTTCCTTTCTCACACCGCATAGTCAAAAACTTGTGGCTACGAGGCACTTGCTCGCTTGTCACGCAGCAGAAGTAGCGTATGATTCATACAGCCTCATTACTTTCCCCATAATCGTGTACAAGCTTGCTACGAGAAAAGCAAGCGTTCAGATCGGTCCCAACACTGATGTTTTCCAAGGCATCGCGATCTTTGGGGAGGAAGGGGCAGGTTTCGCGCCTACTGCAAGGTAATGAAGTGGTAGTCTTGTTCACTCGCGTCGTCACGATTTGTGCTGTAGACATTCATCGGCTTCGTAGTCTGAACTCTGAGTGACATGCTGACACCTCTCAGTCTCAGGTACAGTGCGAAACCTGTGCAAAACGCGCCCGCTGCCGCAATGAAGCTGTAACGATAAATGTGTTGAGGTTCGTTGAAAGTCAATCCGCGCAGGTGCTGTTTTGTTAGGTGTCATTATGTATGGGGAAATTCCACCCCTGATGAACGATAGTGCTTGATACATTCCCAGCTCTGTGGAAGGCCGATATTGTGGACGGCGCGTATATGAGGGCCTCGCCTGACGGATACACACTGCCCTTGCTTCACTCCCCCGTCATGGCACCTCGACCAGGATCCTCCGACAAAATCGACTTTGAGCCGGCTACTGCAGGCAGAGATCCTTTGGCTGCTCACTCGAAGGCCTGCGACGGCTTCTACAATTCGAAACGCAGTGCGTCCAATCCCAACGGTGTCTGATACCTTTTCAGTTAATATGAGTTAACAGGCTCATGACGCGCCTTCAAATGGCAAGTCAGATGAGAGAAAAGTTGCAGGCAATGAGCGTAGGCGTCGCTCGACGATCGATGAGCAT